GGGTTTTAGGGCTCTTAGGGTTTTCAGTCTTTAAGGCTTAGGGCTAAAGGTCATACTTTCTGAGGGTTTAGGATTTTGGGGCTTTAGGGTGTTAGGGCTTGAGGGCTTTAGGGTCGTGCTCTCAGAGGGGGGTCTTCCTGGCCAAGCCTATACTTCCAGGGACCTCGCTGAATGAGCTCCAGTACCTGCTTAGGACTTAGGGTTTAGGGTTTAGGGTTTAGGGTTGAGGGTTGAGGGTTTAGGGTTTAGGGTTTAGGGTTTAGGGTTTAGGGTTTAGGGTTAGGGTCTAGGGTCTAGGGTTTGGGGTTTGGGGTTTGGGGTGTTGGGTTTAGGGTTGAATGTACTCAACCCGCGACACTCAAACATCAACCCACCGTGTGAGTTCCATAGCCCCAGCAAAAGTCCCAAACGAACCCCATAAAACCCTAAGCCCTACTAGGAAGCCCTTTTGACTTAGTAAGTCGGCTTACTAAGGTGGGTAATGCGGTCTTAATTGGGTTTCTAAGGGGGTATTAAGTGGACTTACTAAGTCAAAAGAGTTTCGAATCTAGGGGTTGTACCTCGGACCCTGAAGGTTGTACCTTTGGGTTTTGGGGACCCGCTTTAAAGATCCTGAAACCCTAAACCCCAAACCCAAAACCGTAAGGGTCATAGATCTTTAGGGGTACAACATTAGAGGTACGAGTCTTCTTCCATTGATCTAAGTAGACCATGCAGGGTTAACCTTAAACCATAAACCCTAAACGCTCAAGCCCCCGTAACTTGAAATTATTCAAAAGTCAAAAAAACCGAAACTCCCCGAAACTCCCCCGGACCCGAACCCTGAATAATTTCAGTCCCTAAACCCTAAACCCTAAACCCTAAACCCTAAACCCCAGCGCGTAAGGGGGAAACGCGGCAGGGCGACGGCCAGGACAAAAAACGAAGCGCAAGTCGTGGGCATGGGGCTCGGAGAGAGAAGGGTCTGGTTTTGGGGTTTAGGGGGGTTTAGGGTTTAGGGTTTAGGGTTTAGGGTTCAGGGTTCAGGATTTAGGGTTTAGGGCTCAAGGGGCCTTAGAGTTTCGGGCTTCGGGACTCCTATGAACTGTCGGCATTTCAAAGTTAGCCCCAACGGTTCATGCTCGCCTGCATGCTTTTGACATAATTGAACTAACTCACTGTGTCTGCTGAAAAAGATTGAGCCGGCGTGTCAACACCGCATCGTGCTGCTGGTGCACATAGCCAAACACGCCGCAAATCTCAACAAACCATTCACTAGGCCCAAGAGAGAGTCCTGGGAATAAAAAGGGTGCCCTTTTTTGGTGACCTGAACCCTAACAAAGGGGGAGTAAGGGCCTACTCTGGGTCCTTGGGCTTAATAGAGTTTCGGGTGAAGGGGTTCGAGATTCAGGGTTGTGCAGACTTGCTCAGGCCAATTGAGCGCGGGGGGAGATTATCTGTGACGAGTCTGCAGGTACTGCTGAGGCCCTAAACCCTAAACCCTAAACCCTAATCCCAAATGAAAAGGGCACCCATTTTGGGTTAGCTTGCTTGGGAAGGGAGTACATCCCCTAAGACAAAAAGGCAACAGGTGTACCAGTGTCTGCCAGCTCTCTTAAAACTTTTCGTGACTGAGGAGCTTACCTAAACCCTAAACCCTAAACGCTCAACCCTAAACCCTAAACCCCAATTAAGCCGTAAACCCTAAACCCTAAACCCAGACGTGAAGACTTTCATCTCATCAAGCGCAGTCTGACCTCACAATTCCCAAGTCTTCGTTGCCGGCGCGGCATCGACCTTCTCGAGCGTTGGGCCAAGCACCCCAACGCTTTGTCAAGGAGCGAAGCCCTGGTCCCCGAGACGTGCTTCAACAAGGTTGATACATGCAGGGTTTGTAGGGTTTGTGTAATAGAGTTTATATAGGGCTTACATAGGGCTTGTATAGGGTTTTGCAGGGTTTATGTAGGGTTTCGCAGGGTTGTAGTCTAGGAGTGAAAGGGTTTTTTGCGGTTAGGGAGGAGTTCAGCGCCGCAGCTAAGGCTAGAGCGCCCGAGGGCGCGCTGAAAACTTGGGTGAGCGTCACATCCGCCCAAGGCTTCACGACCTTGCCAGCAACCGCTGGCCACTTAACTGAAAAACTTGTAGAACGATTCGGAGATCATGGATATTCCATGTAAAGTCTCATCATAGGGTCGAGGGAACGCAGCACGAATCTGCGCCCCCCCGGGCCTTCATTGGCTCACACCAGGGGAAAAGGGTCAAGAGAAGAACAGGGAAGACGCTTCGCCCTTGCCCCTGGGAAGCTGACACCTCTCTCCTAGGCCTCAGAAGCTTCAAGCAGCTGGGCCCAGGGAAGGCGGACGTAGGCGGGCTCTAGCCAAAGGCCAGCTTGTTGTTTGCATTGGAGGTCTTCTCCTTAGTGGAGCAAACCGTTATGCCCTAGACCCCAAACCCTAAACCCTAAACCCTAGACCCTAAACCCTAAACCCTAAACCCGAAACTCAAGGGGCCTATCCCAAGGTCCTGCCTAGGTTTAGTCTGGGATTTCAGGTTTGGGACTGAAGGAGGCATTGAGAGGGTTTAGGGTTTAGGGTTTAGGGTTTAGGGTTTAGGGTTTAGGGTTTAGGGTTTAGGGTTTAGGGTGTAGGGTGTAGGGTGTAGGGTTTAGGGTTTGGGGTTGAAGGTTTAGGGTTTCGGGTTTAAGGGTTAGGGATTAGCCCTGGGTGTTAGGGTTTAAAGGGTACTTTAGGTGCATATAGGGCATTTTCGGGGTTCATGGAAGTTGCAACTTCATGAGAAGAAAGCTCTCCGAAACAGACCTTCAACTTCAACCCAGAAGCTTGTGCTCAGGGTTGGGGTCTAGCGTTTCGCGTTTAGGGTTTAGGGTTTAGGGTTTAGGGTTCCGGGTTTAGGGTTCATGGTGCGCACGTTCGGGTTTAGGGTTTAGGGCTTTCCTACCGGTTTCCGATCGCACACCCTTGCGTTTGGGAGGACCAGAAGGAATGACGAACCAACAGCACCTCCAGGCTGGGATGGGGAACTGCAGGGTTTAGGGTTTAGGGTTTAGGGTTTAGGGTTTAGGGTTTAGGGTTTAGGGTTTAGGGTTTAGGGTTTAGGGTTTAGGGTTTAGGGTTTAGGGTTTAGGGTTTAGGGTTTACGGGCTTAGGGTAGGGGCCTAGGGGTGAGAATTGAGGGTTTCAGATTTTGCCCGAGTCTAACGCGATCCAGTTGCTGTGTGGTACTTCTTGGCCAAGTCGTTGTACCTGTCCGTGATCCGCTTCACCTGTGCTCCGCACTCGCCCGCGCAGTTGCGGTTTAGGGTTTAAAAGTTTAGGGTCTAGGGTGTAGGGTTTAGTTCAGGTTCAGGGTTTAGGGTTTAGGGTTTAGGGTTTAGGGTTTGGGGTCTAGGGCTAGGGTCTATAGGGTTTAGGGTCTATAGGGTCTAGGGCTGAGGGCCTCCGACCCCAAAGTTGGTAAGTTAGAAGGGTGCTACGCCCAAAGCGGAGCCCTAAACCCTACGCAGACCGTGACGCCCATATTCTGAAACCCCAAACCCAAGCTGCACCCTAAACCCTAAACCCTAAACCCTCAACCCTAAACCCCTCCGCTGCTGGTCCGCGACATACCTGGCAGCGTGGAGCGCTCGTCGCCTTGATTGGATCTCTTCCGCCGAGCTCGCTTCGAACGCCTTGCAACTTCGGTTTAGGGTTTAGGGTTTATAATATAGGGTTTAGGGTTTAGGGTTTAGGGTTTAGGGTTTAGGGTTTAGGGTTTAGGGTTTAGGGTTTAGGGTTTAGGGTTTAGGGTTTAGGGTTAACTTCCGAAACCGTTTCGGCAAGCGTGGGTGTCGCTCCAGGGCAACCACGATCCGGCGTGGCGCTTGGGGAGCCTGTGCAGGAAGCACCACGCTTCCTGCGACACATTCCCGCGGCATGCGCCGCAGAGCACCCAGCTTCACCAGATGTCCTGAAACCCGAACCCTGAACCCTCAGCCCGGAACCCTGAACCCTAAACCCTAAACCCTAAGCCCTAAACCCTAAGCCCTTATACCCGAAGAGGGCTTTCCTCAATCACTCCCAGACAGGGCTCCGGAACGGCCACCCAGGTGGGCTAATTGTTTAGGAAATCTCGTGAGGTTTAGGGTTGAGGGTTTGGGGTTTCGGGTTTAGGGTTTAGGGTTTAGGGTTCACAGCCCTGCACCCTACACCGCAAGCGTAAGGTACCTGGGGGCCCTTGCACCCAATACTTCTGCTGTATGAGCCGTCCTACCGCAAAAAAAGAAGCCCAAACTAACATTCGTAGGGTAGTTATATGGCCTTAAGGGTTTAGGGATTGGGCTTAGGGTTTAGGGTTTAGGGTTCAGGGTTCAGGGTTCAGGGTTTAGGGTTTAGGGTTTATGGTTTAGGGTTTAGGGTTTAGGGTTCCTTATTATGGTCACCTTACCCCTCCTTTACAGGGTTCTGAAGTATGGGCCTCTTGGTTTTACAGGGTATACAAGGGGTATATTAGGGGTCCCCTTGTAAACTACCCTAAGGAACATAGTAATCTTACCATGTACCTACTATGTTCCTGGCGCGCCCTGTTTGGGCGTTCCCGAAGGACTTCCTGTATCTTGAGGATTGAAGCAATAATGCTGTGCAAGACCTCATGAACCGGACACCCCTCCACGCCGCGTTCAGTATTTAGGGTTTGGTCTTTAGGGTTTCCCTAAACCCTAAACCCTAAACCCTAAACCCTAAACCCTAAACCCTAAACCCTAACCCTAAACCCTAAAACCCTCAAGCGGCCCTTGGGCCCGAACACTTGATGGCCCAGTAGCCCTACTAGAACAGCCCCTAAGCCCTCAGCCCTAAACCCTAAACCCTTTTCTACTATTTCCTGAAGAAACCCCCCAAAGGAAAATGAAAATCTCTATATAGCCCTTAGAAGGAGGTCTGTTTATGTTTTTTTGGGGGGTTCTTAAGCAATTAGTGGTTTTGGGGGCTTGGTTACTTTACAAGGGAACCGAGAACCAACATCAAAGGGCAAAAGGGTACCACTGGGCTAGCAAGATCACCCTAAAGCCTAAACCCTTAACAGCCCAAGCCCGACAACCCGCAAGCAGTACTTCAGCCTGTAAACGAGAACCACAACATAGGTTCAGGGTTCAGGGTTCAGGGTTCAGGGTTTGGGGTTTAGGGTTTAGGGTTCAGGGTTCAGGGTTCAGGGTTTAGGGTTTAGGGTTTAGGGTTTAGGGTTTAGGGTTCAGGGTTTAGGGTTTAGGGTTTAGGGCTTAGCCAAGAACACCCCTGCCAACCTGCTCCGTCAGCTCAGCCTTGATGGCATCTGGCTGCTGGGCAATCTGATCCTCAGCCGGGTGGTTCCAAGAAGGGTTCGGGGTTTAGGGTTTAAGGTTTAGGGTGTAGGGTTTAGGGTTTAGCGCTTAGGGTTTAGGGTGTAGGGTTTAGGGTTTAGGATGTCAAGGGTTTAGGATGTGTAGGGTTCAGGGTTCGTTTGGGGCTCATTTGCCCCTCATAAGCCCATAAACTCCCTACCATCAACCACAAAGCCTAAACCCCAAGCCCAACACCCCAAACCCTAAACTCCGGACCCTAAACTCAGGTAGACCCAAGAGAAACCCTAAACCCTAAACCCTAAACCCTAAACCCTAAACCCTAAACCCTAAACCCTAAGGCCCTAAACCCTAAACCCTAAACCCTAAACCCTAAACCCTAAACCCTAAACCAGGAACCAGGAGGGCTTCACGGCCGAGCCTGGTGCGACGCCGAACGAATTCGGGGTCATCCACCATATGACTGCTGGAGGTGTTCGCTGTCCGGGGCTTTTCTGAAGCTCCAAAAAACCCCAAACCCCAAACCCTAAACCCTAAACCCGTTAAGGGGCCATATAACTACCCTACGAACCCTAAACACGAAACTCTACACCCCAAACCCTAAACCCCAAACCCGAAACTCTACACCCCAAACCCGAAACTCTACACCCCAAACCCGAAAATTCGAACCCGGCTTATCCAAAGACCCTTCAACTCTGTGAGTAAAAACCCTAAACTCTTAAAAACCCTTCAGAACCCAGAAGCCCCCACAAGCCCTTCAGAGCTCTGGGCCCTTCTTAGGAATAGTGTAAATTTAGGGGTTTAGGGTTTAGGGTTTAGGGTTTAGGGTTTAGGGTTTAGGGTTTAGGGTAGCAAGGGACCCAAGTAAAGTGGATCTGGGCAGCTTGGGACAGGATGAAGGGTTTAGGGCTTAAGGCCTTGGACTCTAAAGGTCAAGGCGCATAGATCCGGAATGTACCCTTTAACCCTGAACCCTAAACCCTAAACCCTAAACCCTAATCTTTAGGGCGCCGGGTTCGAGCCTTCAGTTTGAAAAGCGCAGCATCGTTCCAGCAAGGGACGGAAGGAGGGACCCTCGTAAGGGACCTTAGGGGTGATGTAGAAGCTACTTCGGTATATAGAGACTATATGAGACATGTATAGGGGTTGTATGTAAGAACCCTAAGCCCTGAAGCCTAACCCTTCAACCAAAAACCTTAAACCCTAAACCCTAAACCCTAGACCCTAGACCCTAAACCCTAAACCCTAAACCCTAAGCCCTAAACCCTAAACCCTAAACCCTAAACCCTAAACCCTTCCAGGGGCCCTCCTCTTATCACTTAAGTTAGACAATGGAGCTTCGGTTTAGGGTATAGGGTTTAGGGTTTGGGGTTTAGGGTTTAGGGTTTAGGGTTTAGAGTTCTTTTTGGTTCATGACTCATGACACTAAACCCTGAAGTCTAAATTCCAGTACCGAGGGTCCACAATGCCGGCGGTGGCGCAGAACTTGTTCTGCTGCTGGTACCTAAGACGGAGGGAGCTGCATCGGAGAATGGCCATCCTACACCCCAAGCCCTAAACCCCAAACCGTACAGGGTTTAGGGTTTCGGGTTTAGGGTTTAGGGTTTCGGGTTTCGGGTTTCGGGTTTAGGGTTTAGGGTTTAGGGTTTAGGGTTTAGGGTTTAGGGTTTAGGGTTTAGGGTACACCCTAAGTCTTCAACCAAAGCTTTAACCCTAGAACCTACGCCCGAAGCCCTAAGCCCTTAGGCCCAAGCCCTGAACCCCTAAACCCTAAACCCTTAAACCCTAACCCCTAAACCCTAAAACTACCCTAGAACCTGTACCCTAAACCCTCAACACAACCCGCTTTGAACTTAGAGGCCCAGCCGGCCCCAGTCCCCCAATCTCAAATCTGCAAACCTAAGCCTAAACCTCAACTTAATTCAAGAATTGGGTTTAGGGTTTAGGGTTCAGGGTTTAATTAGGGTTTAGGGTTTAGGATTCAGTAGGGTTTAGGGTTCAGGCTTTAGTAGGGTTCACGGGCTTGCAAATGAAAAGGTATGTGATACCTTCTTGGTTGGAATGTGTTTAGAGTACGGTTTGTTATGCGTTACGAATCCAAAGCTTGCGTCTTTCTAGGCTACCCAGGCATCGTGGAAGAGGATGTACACATCGAAACCACTCAAAAAAGGGCGTCGGGGTTTGGCCGTAAGCCTTCAGGGCGGCCTAAGCCCTAAAACCTCTAAAGCCCTACACCCCAACACCCCAACACCCTAAAACCAGACGCCCCCATAAAGCCCTAAAACCTTGAATCCTTTAAGCACGAAACCCTCAAAGCCCACGCCCTCACACGACGGGGTTCATGGGACGCTGAAATGTCAACCCAAAATCTGTCAAGGATCACTGCCAAACAGTCAGGGCTTATTTAGGGTTAGGATTTAGCGTTTAGGGTAAGGGCTAGGGGCTTGAGGTTTAGGGATTGAAGTTCGGGGTTTCCAGGTCGTAGTTGGACTGATCAATGCCAAACGGCTAGGGCCAGTTACGAACTAAGGTTTAGGGTTCTTGGGTCCCTAAAATTAAACCCTAAAGCCAAAATCCAGGGTTTAAGCTCCTAATCGAATTTCCTTGCTGCAGGCGAGTCACTTGGGCACCCGCCACAGTTCGTACATGATGTCCAGGTCATGGGGGATGCCCTCGCACTTGGGTTTAGGGTTTAGGCTTTAGGGTTTAGGGTTTAGGGTTTAGGGTTTATACGGGTCTATAGGGCCCGAGCCCCCAACCGCCCAAGCACCCTAAACCCTAAAGCCTGAACCCTCAAGCCAGTGGAACAGCCCACAGTGTGCTACGGCGGTTTCGGCTTCAGGGTTCAGCATTCAGGCTAGGCCTTAGGGTTTAAGACTTAGAAGGGAGGGAGAGAGCGAGAGAGAGAGAGAGAGAGAGAGAGAAAATTCAAATGAAGGAAAGAGAGTCATCCAGGGTGCGCACTATCGAGCTTCTAAGGTATTGGTCACTTCTCTAAGTTATGGTCCCTGTTGGGGTCACTATCATAGGGCGACCCCTATTATTTAGGGCACCTGAAAAGGGACCATAATTTTGAGAACTGACCCTTCAACCTGTCATGTGCCCAGAAGTTCAGGATCTAGGGCTCAGGGCCCAAATTTTCACACAGAACCTGAACCTTCCGAACCCTTCGAACTAAACCCTAAACCCTAAACCCTGAACCCTAAACTCTAAACCCTAAACCCTAAACCCTACACTTGACAGGGCCCTAGACTTGCCGCCTGGTCCTTCGTGGTCTCGTAGCCGAAGAGGTAGAAGACCTTCCTCATCTTATTGGAGGCCAGGGGGGTTCTTGCGGCCGGGGGCCGTAGAGGAGTTTAGGGTTTAGGGTTCAGGGCTTCGGATTTAGGGGGTAGAGGGGTAGGGGTGTAACCATATTATAATGCTTACTTTATAAGGGATTGCAGAGCAAAAAAAAAGTAGACAAGGGTACCACTGGGCTACTAAGTAGAGAGGGGGGGGGGGGGGAGTGGGGGGGTTGGGTTTAGGGTTTACGGTTTAGGGTTTAGGGTTTAGGGTTTAGGGTTTGGGGTTTGGGGTTTAGGGCTTAGGGGGTAAGGGAGATGACTCAGGGTTTGTAAAAATTAGGAGCCAGGTGTGGCCCGCCCAAGGCCCACTCGAAGGGCTTTACGGCTTTACATGGGTGGTAAACCCTAAACCCTAAACCCTAGACCCTAAACCCTAAACCCTAACCCCTAAACCCTAAACCCTATTATAATACGGCACCTAATATTTAGGGTACCCCAAAAGGGGTCATAATTTTGACAGCCACCCACATGGAGGTCCTTGGATATTCTGGGCCTTAGGGTTTGAGGGTTTGGGGTTGAGGGTTTCAGGGTTTCGGGTTTAGGGTTTAGGGTTTAGGGTTGGGCTCTAGGATTTAGGTTGAGGTCCTTGGATTTTCTAGGAACTTCGGCCAGGACTCTTGTAGCCAGCCCAGACGATAGCCGAGATGCACATGCAGCAAGGCTCCTTAGGCACTAACCCTAAACCCTGAAACCCTGAAACCCTGAAACCCTGAAACCCTGAAACCCTGAAACCCTGAAACCCTGAAACCCTGAAACCCTGAACCCTAAACCCTAAACCCTAAACCCTAAACCCTAAACCCTAAACCCTAAACCCTAAACCCTAAACCCTAAGCCGGCTGGGATATGCCTTAAGGACACCAAGCCATTCACTCCTAGGCTGCCCCTTTAAGGCCCCTGAGAATATTCGGTTTAGGGCTTAGGGCTTAGGCTTCGAGCTTAGGGTTTAGGGTTTAGGGTTTAGGGTTCAGGGTTCAGGGTTTGGGGCAACCAATAGGGGAAGATAGAAAATATCCCCAGCGCCGACCCAGACTCTTGTAAGCAGGCCTGAAAGTTGTGGGGGCTTGGGGTTTAGGGTTTAGGGTTTAGGATTTAGGGTTTAGGGTTTAGGGTTTAGGGTTTAGGGCTTTGGGTTGAGGATTCGGGAAACAAGCTTCCATCAGCCTTTAAGGGCGGGACATGCACTGGAATTTTGGAAATGCCGGGGGCGATTCCTGCAAAAGCCATGCTAGGTTGGCCCGTTAGAGCCGCTGAAAAGACTCCTGGTTTTGGGATTTAGGGTTTAGGGTTTAGGGTTTAGGGTTTAGGGTTTAAGGTCTAGGGTTTAGGGTTTAGGGGTTACCGGCTACCGGAAGCGGTGCCCTTCATCTGCCCTCCAGGATGATCTCAAGCTGTTGGATCGTGATGGTTGCGAGGCCTTCTACATGAGCACCATGCCACGCCAAGGATAAACCTTCTTGGCAGCCCAGTAACCATACTACAATAAGGGCACCCTTTGTTGGGCTGGTTACTTTATAAGGGAACCCAGAACCCAAAAAAAGGGTAAAGGGTACCACTGGGCTACCTAGCCTTTGATAACCTTAACGAACCCCAAGAAACATGACAGCCCTGAACTATCAAATCGGAATCCCCGGAAAGGCTCTACTGGCCATAAACCCAAACGCCGACACCCTAATAATTCTAAACTAAGCCCTGAACCCTGAACCCTGAACCCCAAACCCCAAACCCGAAAGCCTAAACCTAAAGACCACCCCCTAAACCCCAAACCCCTTAACCTTAGACCAGGGCACGTGAGTGCTCAAGAACACGCAGGCGGCCGGATCCGGCCGCTCCTCCGGCGGCCTCACAGGAGCCGCCACTTGCAGGGGCTTTTTGTGGGGTTTAGAGGGTTTGGGCTCCTTAAACCCTAAAAAACCTAAAACGCTATACCCTAAACCCTTAACCCTTAACCCTAAAACCTAAACCCTAACCCTAAACCGTAAGACTTTTAAAAGTTTAGGGTGAAGGCCTTTTTAGAGGTTTGGGTGCACACTGGATCTGGGTAGGTCGTCGAGTTCCGGGTCTTGGGCTCAGACTGGGGGGGGGGGAGGTCGGGGAGCTCTTGGCTTGGGCTCGGCGTTGAGCGCTCCCAGACCAGTGTTCCCTAAAGGTTTAGGCTTTAAGGTTTAGCTACCCCTATACCCTAAATCTTAAACCCCTGCGTAGGCTGGGTTGTGAGGACTGCTGCAGGCATATGAACAGCTACTGCTCGGAGATCACGCTCCAAGCACCGAAGGATAGGGCAAAAGCTCAGAACCCTCAACTCCAAACAGGTTTCCCCCAAATGTCTCACAAGCCCTCAAACTGAAACTCCTAAACCCTAAACCCTAAGCCCTAAACCCTAAACCCTAAACCCTAAACCCTTAACCCTAAACTTCCTGTTCTGCTTGCTGAAGCGGATCCTGGTGGCGCACGCAGTAATCCACATCCAGCGCTTCGTCTCGCGGTAGGGCGGTGGGGCTGCTCGTTCCACCCGCTTGTAGTACTCTTTAGGGTTTAGGGTTTAGGGTTTAGGGTTTAGGGTTTAGGGTTTAGGGTTTAGGGTTTAGGGTTTAGGGTTTAGGGTTTAGGGTTTAGGGTTTAGGGTCCTTGACTCAATCATTGTCGGTGGCTCCGTCGCAACAGGGGGCGGCTCCGTCGCCTGCTCTCCCAGCGCCTTGGAGCTAACCAAGGCTGGTTCTGTTCCTCCACCACCTAAAAACGCCGCCAAAACCCGTAAGCACTTTGGTACCTAGGGGGTGCACATACGGTTTAGGGTTTAGGGTTGGACCCTAAACCCTAAACCCTAAACCCTAAACCCTAAACCCTAAACCCTAAACCCTAAACCCTAAACCCTAAACCCTAAACCCTAAACCCCAATCAGGGTCACAGGATTAAGGGTCTCTTTTTTAGGGGTCCTTTCTGGTTGTATCCCTTACCAACCCCACATAACCTGAAACCCAGCCCGGGCTTGGAGTTTAGGGTTTAGGGTTTAGGGCTTAGGGCTTAGGGCTTAGGGTTTATAGAAATTGTATAGGGTTTGGGTCCGAAAAAACTCCTTTGGCACCGGCCAACCTTTTCTTCATAAATCGAGATAAAAAGGTTGGCCGATAAAAAAACTCGTGAGTCAGCCTTTTTCACCGGCCAACCTTGTGTTCTTTTTTTCAAGAGAACAGGTTGGCCGGTGAAAAAGCGCGCTTTTTCACCGGCTAACCTGTTCTCTTGAAAAAAAGAACACAAGGTTGGCCGGTGAAAAAGGCTGACTCACGAGTTTTGTGTTTTAAAACTATGTTTCAGTTTTTTCTTGGGGGGAGGGGTGAGGGAATGGGGCCCATTTGGGGCGAGATCTAGGGGGAGATCTGGAGGGAGACCTGGGGGGATTTGGTGGGGAGATCTGGGGAGAGATGGGCGGAGATCTGGAGATCTGGGAGTGAAGATTTGGGGGGGAGATCTGGAAAGAGATCTCGGGAGAGGGGGGGAGGAGACGTTGGGGATGGGGGGGGAGATCTGGGCGAGATCTGGGGAGATCTGGGGATTTCCCCAGATGTGGGGGAGATCTGGGGGGAGATCTGCGAGGAGATCTGGTGGGATCTGGGAGAGTAGGGGAGATGTTGGGGAGATCTGGGCAGAGATGTGAGGGAGATTGGGGGGGGAGAGATCTGGGGGAGGGATGAGGAGGGGAGGAGAGGGGATGAGAGCAGGGGATGAGAGGAGAGGAGAGGATGAGAGGAGGGGCGGGGAGGAGGGGAAGGGGAGGAGGGAGGAGGAGGGGAGGAGGGAGGAGAGGAGGGAAGGGAGGAGGGAAGGGGGGGGGGGGGGGGGGGGGGGGGAGAGGTTTAAGTAAATTGAGCATTTGGCCTAGGAGTGTGTTGGCTTAATTTACTTAAACTCAGCTTGTCAGCTGTTTAGATAAAAAAAAAAACCTTGGAAAATTCAGAATGTGACCACAAACAATTTCTATTTATTTTGGCTTGAGGGTTTAGGGTTTAGGGTTTAGGGTTTAGGGTTTAGGGTTTAGGGTTTAGGGTTTAGGGTTTAGGGTTTAGGGTTTAGGGTTTAGGGTTTAGGGTCCAAGCGAAAAAACACTTCGCAGGGGCCAGGATTTGCGGTTTAGGGCTTACCTGTCGGCTCTTGCAAGGAAATTCGGGGATGAGGCGTCTCACAGCCCCCTTGAGCCCTAAACACTACACCCTAAACCCTAGACCCTAACCCCCCTAAACCCTAAACCCTAAACCCTAAACCCTAAACCCTAAACCCTAAACCTTAAACCCTAAACCCTAAACCCTAAACCCTAAACCCTAAACCCCAAACTAAAAACCCTAAACCCAAGTTTGCGGGCCTAGGTTGGAGGTTGAGGGTTTGGGACATAGGTCTATGTCTTGAGGGCTTGGGGGCTCGAGAGAATAGGGTGTAAGGTCTTGCAGCTTGGGTTTAGGGTTGAGGGTTGAGGGTTGAGGGTTGAGGGCTGAGGGTTGAGGGTTTAGGGTTTAGGGTTTAGGGTCTAGGATTTAGGGTTTAGGGTTTAGGGATTAGGGTTTAGGGCTCAGGGTTTAGGGTCAGGGTTAGGTTTGAGGGTTTAAGGCTGAGGGTTTACGGTTTAAGGTGTAATGATCTGCGACGATCTGCCGCTGCCGCCCCGCCTCTCACTGAGCTTCTTCATGGTATGCCTGAATCAGAAGAATTAAGAAGCACCGAGAAGCACTGATAAAGGACGGAGTAGAAGACCCAAACCCTATACTGCCCTTAGGCACTTTAGATCCCCAAGCAACCTACAAAGAGAACCTCACCCTAAACCCTCAAAAACAATTGTAAGACTTGGGTAGGGTTTAGGGTTTAGGGTTTAGGATTTAGGGTTAACAGCTTAGGACACACAAAGAACCGCACAATCCGCAAACCCTAAACATGAGACCCTGCGCCCTGTGCCCGAAATCCTAAGCCCTAAACCCTAAACCCTAAACCCTGAACCCTGAACCCTGAACCCTAAACCCTTAACCCTAAACCCAAAACCCAAAACCCTAGACCCTAAACCCTAAGCCCTAAGCCCAACTGGCCGCCACGGTACACCTCACCATGGAAGAGGGGGCATTCCATCTCGTTGTTCCTAGGTGGGATTAGGGTTCAGGGCTTAGGGCTTAGGGTTTAGGGTTTGGGGTTTGGGGTTTAGGGTTTAGGGTAGGGTTTAGGGTTTAGGGTTGAGGGTTATTGTTGTCCAAAGCTGTAGGCTTCTAGCTTGGCCCCTTAGACCGTCTGAAAATACTCCGAAATATCTTCGCCAGCCCAAGTAAGGGGGGGTAGGGTTTAGGATTGGGGTTTAGGGTCTAGGGTTTAGGGTTGAGGGTTGAGGGATAAGGGTTTAGAGTTTAGGGTTGAGGGTTTCAGGTTATTACAATGTCCCAGGGGCGTAGTGAGTGCAGGTTCAGGGTACAGCGTAAACGCTAAGCCCTAACACCCAAGTCTTTATATAAGGGCGTTAAGAATTAAATTGTTTTTTTTTTTTGGGGGGGGGGGGGGGGGGGGGATCAGTATACTAAATTTATATAGGGACCAAAAGGGAAACTAATATGTAGGGGCCTTGAGACTTAGAATAGGGTGTTTGGGGGGCAAGCGGACATAGTCTGGTGCTTTTTCAGAACAAAATTAGAATACGTTTTATGTATTTTGACATCTATGACTGCTATGTTAGACTCCTAAACCCTGAGCCCTACAGCAGCAACACGGCATAAATGATTCTTCATGAGGAAACGAACCCGAGCTTAATGGGTTGCAAGGTAGGGCAGACTTACTCTATCTAGTGTTGGATACCGAAAGGGTTTCGGGTTTAGGGTTTAGGCTTTCGGCTTTGGGTTTTAGGTTGGGGGCTTAGGGGAGGGTTGGTCTTCGAATCCCAAAATCACTGCCTTCCCAAGCAAGGACAAGTTCCCGATTTTGGTAGGTTCTCTAGAAGTACGACATAAGGAATCCGAAAAGCCTTTTGAAAATGTAAGTAAGCTCCGGGAGGTTCCATCAACCCTAAACCCGAAACCCTAAACCCTAAACCCTAAACCCTAGTAGAACAAGGCTCGTGTCTGCGATGATGGTCGGAAGACCTTCGCAGTCTCGCCTAGGCATCGGGTTGGGAGTTTGTTGGGTTGCTGGGTTGTTGGGTTTTAGAGTTTAGGGTTTTAGGGTTTTAGGGTTTAGGGTTTCGGGTTTCGGGTTTGGGGTTTAGGGTTTATAAGGTTTATGGCCTCACCGTTCAGGGGTTTTTTAGGCTTAGAGGCGTACAGTTTCGGGTGTCATAGGGGCTTGGCAATTCAGGGTCGGCCTTCTGGGACTCATGTGTGCGTCGGCGGGTGCCGGTCAGTAGGGTTATTGCTTTCTGGGCTGCCCGAAGTGGGGTTCTTCGGTGGCTTGTGGGGCTCAGGGTTCGAGGAGAAGCCTGGAGCCCAGATGCAAAGCACCCTCAAGCCGGAACCTCAAAAAAAAAACCTAAACCCTAAACCTAAACCCCGAAACCCCAAAACCCCCTAAACCCCTAAACCCGTGAATCTAGAGCCCGCATTAAGACTCTAACCCCGCGTGAGCCGACAGGTCCCCAAGCCCTGATATCCCCAAACCCCCAAACCTCAACACCCCCAAAACTGTAGGGTTCAGGGTTCGGAGTTTAGGGTTTAGAGTTTAGGGTTTAGAGGTTAGGGTTTAGGGTTCATGGTTCCCCCTAAACCCGTAAACCCCCAAACCTGAACCGCGACCTGAGGCGGTGGCAAGACAGCTGCACCGAAGACCTTGTTCCCCGCCTTCACACCTGCAAGGTGGCTTGGGGTTTGGGGTTTGGGGTTTAGGGTTTAGGGTTTAGGGTTTAGGGTTTAGGGTTTAGGGTTTAGGGTTTAGGGTTTAGGGTTTAGGGTTAGGGGTTTAGGGTTTGGTCAGCTTACATCTCCGCAACGCAACCCAAGAGGGGCTGTGGTTTAGGTTTAGGTGTTTACCGTTTTAGGGCAAAGGGTTATAGAGTTGCACCCTAAGCCCGCTGGGCCTTGAAGCGAAGCTTCTCTAGCACAAACATATTGCAGACACCCTAAACCCTAAACCCGAAACTCTACACCCTAAACCCTAAACCCTAAACCCTAAACCCTAAACCCTAAACCCTAAACCCTAAACCCTAAAGCCGAATTAGCCACCCTCAACCACTCCAACCCCTAAAGCTCGGGTCTGAGCCTTGGCTTGTAGAAAATCAAGAGTTTCGGGTTTAGGGTTTAGGGTTTAGGGTTTCGGGTTTAGGGTTTAGGGTTTAGGGTTTCGGGTTTCGGGTTTAGGGTTTAGGGTTGTGGTTTTAGAGCTCAATGGTTGTAGGGTTGAACGGTTTAAGGGCTTGGGGGGTCAGGGCTCTGGATTTTAGGCGCTAAGGGGGCTCGGGGTTTGGAGGCCAGGGTGCAGGGTGTAGGGATTAGGGTTTAGGGTTTAGGGTTTAGGGTTCAGGGTTTAGGGTTTAGGGTTTAGGGCTTAGGGTTTGTGAGGCCCGAAGACGACGCCCCTCTTTGTCCAAGCGCTTTTAGAGCACCTTGGCCATCTGCGAAAGAACATCAGACAAAAAGGCATGTGATTGAGCAGCCACATGGGCATCTCTCCCAAGATAGGGGGTACCCCTTATGCACCCCAAATAGAATCGAAGCCCCTTAAAGGGCCCCAAAAAGGGTACCCCTATTTTGGGAAAACCCCACATAGCCTGAGCTGCTGGGTCATACAGATTGGCGCTGTTTCCCACTGGTCTCCCTTGCTTCTTGGAGGTCCGGGGGTAGTTATAGGTAGGGTTATAAGAGATAAGTGCGGCAACTATGCTTATTACACTACTTCAGGGTACCTATAACCCCATTTATAACTACCCGTGAACCTCCAAGTTGGTGCTGGCTGGATGCATGGGCGAAGACTGAAGTTACATGCGGGATGGCTCGCAATGCACGAGCTCGCATCCCGAGGAGGACCCTGCGGTTCAGGTCCAAACCCTGAATACCCTGAACCCTAAACCCTACATCTTGAACCCTAAACCCTAAACCCTAAACCCTAAACCCTAAACCCTCAACCCTAAACCCTAAACCCTAAACCCAGGCTCCGAAACGCCAGATTGTCAGGCAGACGAGGCCCTCTGGGGAGACCTTGGGCTGGTCGCCGCCGACAGAAACTGGAGCGCCCAAAGCGAAGAAATGTAGGGTTTAGGGTTTAGGGTTTGGGGTTTAGGGTTTAGGGTTCAGGGTTCAGGGTTCAGGGTTTAGGGTTCAGGGTTCAGGGTTCAGGGTTCAGGGTTCAGGGTTCAGGGTTCCGGGTTTAGGGTTTAGGGTTTAGGGTTCAGGGTTCAGGGTTCAGGGTTCAGGGTTCAGGGTTCAGGGTTTAGGGTTTAGGGTTCAGGGTTCAGGGTTCAGGGTTTAGGGTTTAGGGTTTAGGGTTTAGGGTTTAGGGTTTAGGGTTTAGGGTTCAAGGCATACGTTTAGGAGCCAGGGCTTGCGGTCTAGGGCACCCTGCAGCGCAAACACACGCCAATCCCTACATGTTACAAGAGCCTGTGATACGCTGGAGCCCAGCTCTCAAGCTCAAGAAGCGTTTCCCTCGTCCCGCGCCTAGCTCCGTCTTGGGCAGCACCTCCAGGACGGAGATATATCATGTCGATATGGGTTTAGGGTTTAGGGCCGAGGGTTCGGGGTTTGCCCCGCTTCAAGCCCTGCATCCAGATGCCCATAAATGGAAAACTAAACCTTCAGCTGGTTGCCCAAGCCCCTAGAAAGAAGCCCTGCCGTTTGAAACTCCTATCCTAAAGCCCTGACCCTAACCCCCGAACCCTAAACCCAGAATCGCCAGAAAAGACCGGAACACCCCCAAAATCACAACAAACCATAACCTACGGTCCAGGATTCTCGGGCCCTGAGTGGGGATAGCCTTAAACCCTAAACCCTGAACCCTAAACTAAGCCCTAAACCCTTAAGGCTTGGAGGTTTTAACGAACTTGAAGTGAACCTCTTCACTCAAGCCACCTATGAGTTGCGTCACGTGGGTCGCTTGGAGCACTTGGGACACGTGGGTCGCTTGGGGTCAGGCTTGGGACACTGAAATATTTGGGTGAACTGGCAATACTTGGGTTGCTTGGATCACTTGAGGGTCGCTTGGGTCACTGGGAACACTTCATTCGCTCGGTCATTCGGGACACTCGGGTTACCTGGGTCACTTGGGACACTCAAGTCACTGAGGTCACTTTCCACTTTCTGACCTTGGCGTCACTCGGGTCGTTTGGAGCACTTGGGCCACTTGGGTCACTGGGGTCACTGCCCCCACTCCTTAGCGTGCATACTCAGAAGTCCAACACTAAACCCTAAACCCTAAATCCTAAACCCTAAACCCTAAAGCATTTTTCGCGGGACCGGCCAGCTATCGGCGCATCCGGCCCGTCGCCTGTCAAGGCCCGCGACTTCCGCATGCCATTTGCGTGTTGCAACCTTCCTTGGGCTGGAGCTGATTGGACACTTTTTTGGCTCACAATTTTGGCTCACAAAAGGTGTAAATGGAGCACGCGCTAGCTCATGGGCAGGAAGTGGCATAAGGGTGTGCTGCATACATGCTTCCTTCCACTGCGTGAGCTGCGCCACGACAAAAAACAAATGACAACTTGAAGTTCGTGAAAGGTTGTGAACGACAGCATCGTGGCAACCGAGCACAGTCAAGCGGACGAGAATTGATTGATGTGCAACCGTTAGTTGGATGTCAGGTTTGGGGAACAGTACGGGCGACAGGCAGTCTGTCCGATGGCTTTGGGGTAGCTAGAATTCCTCAATAGCACCTACAAATGGATTGTTCGGCTTGAGTTGCCCTTTGACAAACCCTGGAGACTAGGGAAAAAACAAGCTTCGCGGCTTCAGCGCGGGGACGTGGGTGGAGTCTTCTCTAGCCTTGGCTGCACTTTGTTACTTTGCAGAACCAACCGTGAACTTCTAGCTAGCTCATCAAGAACTACGCGACCATGGAGTTTAAGGACCAAGCTTCACACGGCCCCTACCGGGGGGGGAAGGGGGGGGGCTGATGGGAAGGGGGAGAGGGAGAGGTCTGGGAAATGCCCTGGAAGGGAGTTGGGTGGGGGTAAGACCCTACATCTTCTAACAAGGGCCCCCCCCCCTCATTCTAGACCCAAGCGAAACCTACAAATGAAAAGGGTGCCTTTTTTTTGTTTAAAGGGCAACAAAAAACCTGACCCCTGAAAAAAGGAATAAGGGCCGGCCTAATCCTAAACCCTAAACCTTACACCCTAAACCCTAAACCCTGTATACACCCTAAACCCTAAACCCTGAACCCTACAAGGGAATAAGGGCCTACTCTGGGTCCTAGTACTGCTTAACACTCTCGGGCTCACCGGTGGCATCTTGAGGTTGAGGTTGCGGTTATTTGGTAGGGTATAGGGTTTAGGGTTTAGGGTTTAGGGTTTAGGGTTTAGGGTTTAGGGTTTAGGGTTTAGGGTTTAGGGTTTAGGGTTTAGGGTTTAGGGTTTAGGGTGTAGGGTGTAGGGTGTAGGGTGTAGGGTTTAATGTTTAGGGTTTAGGGTCTAGGGCCTAGGGTCTAGGGTCGTCTAGGGTCGTCTAGGGTCTAGGGCTTAGAAGGCCGACACCGATGTAGTGTCGGGTTTGTTTAGGGCTTAGGGTGTTAGGGCTTGCGCTTCATTCTAGGGTGTAGGGTTTCAGGGTTTTGGGGGTGTTAGGGTTGGCGGGCGTTCGGGCTTTCAGGGCTTTAGCTGGGCCTTGTTGGCGTTTTGGGGGTTTTGAAACCCTAAACCCTAAACCCTAAACCCTAAACCCTGAAACCTAAATCCTAAACCCTGAACCCTAAACGGGGCTTCGGGCCTTGGGTTCAAGGGTTTTGGGGCTTCGGGCCTTAGGTTCAGGGGTTTAGGGTTTAGGGTTTAGGGTTTAGGGTTCAGGGTTCAGGGGTGTGGGGTACGGCACTGGGTCCCCTGAATTGTAGGGTTGTGGGCTCTGGCGTTTTAGGGGTTTTAGTCTTCAGGGCTTTTTGGCTTTCAGGTTTAGGGTTTAGGGTTTAGGGTTTAGGGTTTAGGGTTTAGGGCTTAGGGTTTAGGGTTTACGGTTTAGGGTTTAGGGCTTAGGGTTTCTGGACCCTCTCGGGCCTCATGCTCGATCACGTCCAGCCTTGGCGACAAAAAAACCCTAGCTTGGCCCGGAGAGTGCGAGGAAGCCCAAGCCCGAATAGCGGCATAGGGTTTAGGGCTTCAGGTTGGGATGCTTCCCCTTACATTAACAGCCCTTACTCGGGATGACCGTACCCTCGATTAGAACCCTCTTAAGGGCTGTTAGTATAAGGGGGAACATCCCAAGCTTAAGGTTAAGGGTTCAGGGAAAATGGTTTCGGGCTATCATCATGAACCCCAGGCGGGAAAGCTATGAAACATCGCGAGGTCGGACCTAGAATCTTCTGAAAGGTCTGACGCCAAGACAGGGGCGTGGGGCCGCAGTGGCGCGCAGGTGGCATACTTAGAGTTTAGGTCCCTAAACCCTAAACCCTAAACCCCTGAAACACTAAAACCATAAAACCCTACATCTCTAAGACCCTAAAGCCCTAAATCCTAAAAACCCTAAAAACCCTAAAAACCCTAAAAACCCTAAAAACCCTAAAAACCCTAAAAACCCTAAACACTGGAGTCGAAACCCGAAACTGGATACAAGCTCCTCGGCACCTAAATGTCGGTTTACGAGGCCACCCTGTTGGGTTCCAACCACGCCCCTCAACCCGAGAACGCATGGTAAGGCTTATGGACTGATGTTTTGGGGTTTGGGGTTTACAGGGTTTAGGGTTCAGGGTTTCGGGTTTAGGGTTAGGGTTTCGGGTTTAAGGGTTCAGGGAGGCCTATGAAGGCCCCAAGTTGATTCATAGGATCTTAGGGCTAAGGGTTTAGAACCATGACATGACTTCCATGATAAGCCCTTGCCTCTCTAGTCGGCATAGTTTTAAAGGGCGCCTCTCCTTCGGCCCTGAACCCTGGGGTTTAGGGTTTAGGGTTTTGATTTTCGGGTTTAGGGTTTAGGGTTTAGGGTTTAGGATTTAGTTTAGAGTTTGGGGTTTAGGGTTAGCAAAAGAAGGGCCCAGCGGCATGCGGCGGAGTTCCTCAGCGTTGGCCGTGGGTGACGCCAACGGTGTCGGCGAGTGCGGGACAGTCCTTATGGCGTGCCCTAAACCCTAAACTCTCAACCCTACACCCAGTAACCCCAAACCCTGAAACCCTGAACCCTGAACCCTGGACCCTGAACCCTGAACCCTGAGGCTGCGCACGAATTTAGGATGGTCTGGGAGCTTGAGCCCCAAACCCTAAACCCTAAACCCTAAACCCTGAACCCCAAACCCTAAACCCTAAGCCCTCAGGGTTTAGGGTTGAAGGGGGCTTTGAGGGGGTTTAGGGTAGGGTTGAGGCCTTCGGGTTGGGAACCCCGAAACTCTGGCTTAAACAAATCCATCGGAGGGGCGCGCAGTACCCAGATGCCATGGCCATGACTTTCGCGCACGGGCAAGGGAGGGAGCCGAACTGGCTTGGGGGAAGCTGGCTGCTGCGTCGGGTTTAGTGTTTAGGGGTTCGGCGTCGCGCCCATTAAACCAGAGACCCACTCGCCCCTGCGACCGAAGACCTTCAAGTGTCATCCCCTACAAGCCCAAACATTGTAGGGTTTAGGGTTAAGGGTTTAGGGTTTCAACACGGATTGACTCTTCAAGTCAGCGTCAACCCTCCCTAAACCCCGATTGAAGGGTGGGCTTCGAAGTCGAAGGAACCGCTCGAATAGGGCTTAGGGCGTTTCAGGGGTCTAGGGCTTAGGGCTTGAGGGCGTTTAGGGGTCTAGGGATTTGTTGAGGGGTCCTATGGTAGTAAGGGTTTGGCGCTTTGGTTTTGAAGGTTGAGGGTTTCAGGGATTTCGGGCCTCTAGGGCTTCAGGACTTTGGTTTTGTTGGGGTTTAAGCATTCAGAAAATTTGGGGACTAGGGTTTAGGGTTTAGGGTTCAGGGTTTAGGGTTTAGGGTTTAGGGTTTAGGGTTTCGGGTCACCCAGGGCCTAAGCCTTGAACCTGCAACCCTCTTCTTTGGGCAGCTAATCTGAAAAACCTGGGACGGTTTAGGGTTTAGGGTTTAGGGTTTAGGGTTTAGGGTTTGGGGTTTAGGGTTTAGGGTTTAGGGTTTAGGGTTTATAGGGTCTAGGGTTTAGGGCCTTACGCTCCGAACCACTTGCGCCCCAAAGCTAGGAGCTCCTAAACTCCTAATCTCCCAAAAAGCCCTAAACACCATCTTTTGGTTTAGGAGTTTGGGAGTTTAGGGTTTAGGGTTCAGGGTTTAGGGTTTAGGGCTTAGGGCGGCTTGGCCTGAAAAGCGTTTTTTGTCACGCTTGCGCCGTACATCCGCGCACGAACTACGCGTGTTTCCCTCCGAGGCAGCCAGGGTTTAGGGTTTAGGGTTTAGGGTTTAGGGTTTAGGGTTTAGGGTTTTGGGTTTATGGGGTTTAGGGGCTCAGGGTTTGGGAGTTTCGAGGTTGGGGGTTTGGCGATGGTGGTTCTGCATGGATGTTGCGATGGCGCACTTTACTCACTTACCCTTTTTAGCTGTACCCCTGATTCCTTTGCTACCAGTTAGGGTTTGGGGTTTGGGGTTTGGAGTTTAGGGCTTAGGGTTTTGAGTTAAAGCTCGACACAAGAGTAACCTAGGAAAAAAAGAGCCCATTCTGGTTAAAAGGGAGCTTATCAGGAAACTTAGACCATAAACAAGGGAACATGGGTCTGGCTGGCTCCTAGAAACTATTAGATGCGCGTTCCATATTCAGGGTATTGGATGACTAACCCTCAACCCCTGCATCCGAAACTAACCCAAAACCCTCAACTCAACCCTCAAGCCCCAAACCTTACGCTTTTCTCAAAAACCGCGATGATCATTCAAAAGGTTGCCAAAGCTGCGGCTTGGCACTTCAGGCATAAGTTCTAGTCTAGGGGTTTAGGGTCTAGACTTGAGGTTTAGGGGTATGACACGACTAGTAAAGTGCGCTCGTCGGTTAGCACCTACTAAGCTTCTGAGCTAGAGTTTGGAATTTAGGGTTGTAGGTCTTCATGTTCTCTTGATCCAGAGGGGCGTCCTCCCGAAGGAAACACATGCTGCTCACTCACCGCGACGTCGCTAACCGAGTCGCTGAATGACGTGTACCTTGGTATGGGGGAGCCACAGCCGAAACCGCAAAAGTCCTTATAAAGACTCAGAAGCAAGACAAAGCCCAACTAGACCCGAGAGTAACCTAGGAAAAAACAGGGTACCCTTTTTGGTTTTAAGGGGATTATAAGGTCAACCCTAAAAGAAGGAAAAACGGACCTACTCCCGACATCCTAGGACCCTAAACCGGATTCTAGGAGAACCCTTACAAGGGGCTCCCTTGGGTCCCTCCCCACGCCTGCCAAAACGGCGTATAGCAAAAATATAGATACTTGGAGGCTCATGGTACTTATTAACCAATTAGAACTGTACTTATAACCCACTTATAAGCCCCTTAAGTGCCCTAATATGGTTCTAAGTACAGTTATCCTAAACCCTAAACCCTAAACCCTAAACCCTAAACCCTAAACCCTAAACCCCTTTAAGTACAGTTATAATTGGTTAATAAGTACCATGAACCTCCAAGTACGGCCGCACTTCACGATGCTGTATTCGATTCTTGTTTTGGCGGGTGCGTAAATAGCGGTTTAGGGTTTAGGGTTTAGGGTTTAGGGTTTAGGGTTTAGGGTTCAGGGTTTACGGTTTAGGGTTTAGGGTTTAAACTACTGAGGCCCCTAATTACTACTATATGTCAGCCTGCAAACAGGCAAATTTGTATCGCGGGCACGTTATGAAGACGTCTTGTGGGCCCGTGTCACAGTCGGTTGACCAACGCGTCGGACGGCGGTGGCTGGACGACAGGCGGGTGAGCATCAGACTTTTGAGCGTCAAACGGCTTCGCGTTGGGGCTTTCTGCCCCGTGAAGCTTTCTCACGCAGAGCTCCTTCTGCACGGAAACGGTCTTGTGGAAAGTGTAGAAAGACACGTTGCGCAAGGACGGCCGCTTCCAATGTATGGCCCTGCGGCCCGTGAACAAGTGAAAGTATATAGCTAACATCACGCGCTCGTTCTAAGAGGATTTTTGCATTACGTTATGACTGCATAGTGCGGCTTCTGCACGGGAAGTACAAGCATCATGTGCAAGAGACCCTAAGCCGTATACTAAACCCTAAACCCTAATTGGGGAGCTTCTGGCTGTGGAAACACAAAAGGAAACCGGCGACGAAACAATGGGGCCCCCACAAGATGTTAGGATTTAGGGCTTAAGGAGTCGGACTTAGGGTTCAGGTTGTTCATAAGGGAAAAGACATGCAGCGAAGCTGCACACCCCCCGCCCCCCCAAGAAACAACAAGTCCCTTGGACTTCTAACAACACAAACGTTCTTGTCGTAAACACAGGGACATGGGATTCCTGAAAGACGGGTGCCTGAACCCAGTCAACCTAAAACCCTAAACCCTGAACCCTAAAGCCTTAAGCCCGTTAACTCCCCCAAATTTAGGGCTCAGGGCTGAGGTTTCGGTCTTCGGGGTCAAGGATTGAGAGTTTCAGGGTGTTGATGGTTTCAGGGTTGAGGGTTTGTTCACCCTAGACCCTAAACCCGAGGCTTGAAGCCTCCTTAAGCTCTCTCTCCCCCTAAGCATCGAATCCCGTGATAGCAGGGCATCTCAGGCCCTAAAAAAACGAACTCCAAACCCTAAACCCCTAACCCCTAAACCCTAAACCCTAAACCCTAAACCCTAAACCCTAAACCCTAAACCCTAAAGAACCGCTGACAGCAAGGCACACCGCGCGCAGTCGAGACGATGTCGCCCAGACTATTGGTTGCCATGCCTCGGCAAGAATTTTAAAGGGTTGGCTTGTTCAGGGCTAGGGTGTAGGGTTTTAGGGTTTAGGGTGTTTAGGGTTTAGGGTTTAGGGTTTAGGGTTTAGGGTTTAGGGTTTAGGGTTTAGGGTTTAGGATTTAGGGTTTAGGGTTTAGGGTTTAGGGTTCAAGATTTAGGGCTGAAAAATCAGGGTTGGTCTGTTGTTTGGGGGTTCAGGGTTGAGGGCTCGGGGCAGTCAACGCTTGAAAGGGCTTCTGTCTTTCTACGCCTTGCGCCATCGACGAGCGCCGTACTTTCTCCCTAGCATTTCAGCTGATCTCAGGATTCAGGATCAGGGTTTAATACTTAGGGTTTAGGCTCTAGGTCGGTTTGAAAACCATACTCTTCATGTCGACCTCAACCCCAAGACCCTGCCGACCCCGCTGTTTCAGACGTTGCGGACCTGCACAAGACTGGGTGTAGGGTTTAGGGTTTAGGGTTAGGGAAACCACTGGAAGGGTGTTATTATGTTTTGCGATACTTGCAATGCATTGGGTATCTAGACCTAGAACCTAAACCCACAATGAAGTCAGAAGAGAGCATGGCATCTAAGCATCGTCTGCACATACTAGACCCAAGAGTACCCCTAGGAATCAAAAGGGCGCCTTTTTTTGGTTCACAGGGGGCGTATAAGGGAACCTAAGCCCAAAAAAAGGGGAATAAGGACGTACTCTGGGTCCAAGTCCTAAACCCTAAACCCAAAACCCTAAATCCCAAAAAAGGGGGAATAAGGGCCCACCCTGGGACCTAGCATCGTTTCATGCCGTGTTTGAAGACAATCCCCATGAGAACCCAACACCAACCTTGGGGTTCTGGGCTGGGGGTTTAGGGTTTAGGGTTTAGGGTTTAGGGTTTAGGGTTTAGGGTTTAGGGTGTAGGGTTTAGGGTTTAGGGTTTAGGGTTCTCTTGATCAGAGGCTCCAACCACTCCACTGCATAGGAAAACACAACCCTAACCCTAAAACCCTGAACCCTAAACCCTAAAACCTTACACCCTAAACCCGAAACAAACCCTCAGCACTCAACACCACCGCACCCTGGAATCGCGAGCTGTCAGTTTCCACCGCGCCCTAACCCTAAAAGCTAAACCCCAAACCCGAAACCCTAAAGCCGCAAGCCTGAGACCCTAAACCCTAAACACGAAAACCGCGAGGCCCTAAAGCTGTTTAGGGTTTAGGCTTTAGGGTTCAGGATTCCTCTAGCACCCTTTTGACACTCTAAAATTGTACCCCTATAATCCCGTGGAGCTTCTACACCCTATCAAAACCTGCAAACACAAACCCCAGAAATCCTTGATATCCTACAGATCCCAACCCTAAACCCTAAACCCATAACCCTAAACCCTGAACCCTAAACCATTAACCCTAAACCCTAAATTCCCACCCAGGCCTGCTTAGGCCGTACCCACCCTGTTCTAGGACTACACCCGACAGCCACTAACACCATCGCTTGGAGCTAAAGAGTTGTGTTGAGCGTGAGCGTGACCTGGGGCACCCCTAGGCGCAAGGGGCCACCGTGCGGATGGCGAGGTGTGGGGAAACAAAATAATACTTGGCCCCCTGGCCCCCTG